CCATCGATGGGTCAGGCCAGCCAGGCTAAACAGCCTGCTCCCCCGGCGCCACAGCAGGTGCAGTGGCACTGGGCACCGTCACAGTGGTACCAGTGGGCACTGCCAGCCTCCTCGCCCTCCCATGATGAGGCGATTACAGCTCCTCCTCCCTCCATCCCGCAGAAGGACTCTAAGTCCCACCAAGAACTATTAAAAAGGGTGGCATCAAGCCTCAACCTCCAGGCAGAGAAGGTGGAGGAGCCCTTGGATTCCCCGCTTAACGTACTGTCCGCCTCGGTACCAGGCAGATGGCCTTGCCTCTCCAAGAAGGGGTGGCGAAAATTTCAAATGCCGTGAGGCAAACCCTGGCCTCATTGGCCCCCATCTCTAAGAGAGCAGAACGCAAGTATTTTGTGCCCGCCAAGGGGCATGAATACCTATACACCCACTCTGCCCCTAACTCCCTGGTGGTCGAGTTGGTCAACCACAGGGAGCGGCAGGGCCAACGAGCCCCTACTCCGAAAAATAAAGATTCAAGGAGGATGGACTCATTTGGAAGGAAAATTTATTCATCCTTGAGCTTCCAGTTATGCATGACGAACCATCAGGCTCTCCTGGGCAGGTATAAATTCAACCTCTGGGGCTCTTTGCCCAAGTTCGAGGACGCCCTCCAGGAGCGCAACAGTAAGGAATTCAAAGCGCTGGTGGAGGAGGGCACAGCGGCTGCCAGGGCAACCCTGCAGGCAGTTTTGGATGTGGCGGACACAGCCACATGGTCCATGGCCTCCGCGATGTCCATGAGAAAGGCGTCGTGGCTCCTGCTCTCTGGGCTGTCCAGTGAGGCGCAGACCTCCCTGCAGGACCTCCCGTTTGACAGCAAAGCTCTGTTTGCGGAACAAACGGATATAAAACTACATGGCCTGAAAGACTCCCGTACGACACTTCAGACTCTGGGCCTCTATGTTCCGGCTCTGGCTAAACCTAAGTTTAAGCCGCAGCAGGCTCCTGCCCAGGCTGCCCACTCTAAATATGAGCCCGCTTATAAAAAGTCGCGGGACTATAAGAAATGCCCGCAGAGGCAGTCTCGGCCTGCCCCCCAGCCTGGGTCCTCCAAGGGCAAACAGGCAGGGAAACAGCAGTTTTGACGGGATGCCCAGGGGCGCTTGCCAGTTCTCATCAGGGATCCACCCACAATAAAACTTCCCTTCTCCAACTGGTTTTGTGCTTTCCTCCTGGAGTGGTCGCGGCTGCCCTCAGACCGATGGGTCCTCAACACCACCTCCCGGGGTTACACCCTCCAGTTTACCTCCACCCTGCCCAACCACCCTCCGCCCCCGTCCCTCCTGGGGGACCCCTCTCACAAGGCTCTGCTCGAGCAGGAGGTGGGGCAGCTCCTTGGCCTAGGAGTGGTGGAAGTGGTGCCAGTGGAGTTCAAACGCAAGGGGTATTACTCCCGCTATTTCCCTATCCCGAAGGCCAAAAGGGGGCTTAGGCCCATCCTGGACCTGCAAGGCCTGAACCAGTACATGGTGAAGCTCAAGTTCCGCATGGCCTCCCTGGCCTCCATCATTCCTCCCGGGGACTGGTACGCTGCCCTCGATCTGCAGGACGCGTACTTCCACATTCATATATTTGAGGGCCACAGACGCTTCCTCCGTTTCACGGTTGGGCAGGAGCACTACCAATTTACGGTGCTCCCATTTGGCCTGTCCACTGCCCCCAGGGTATTTACAAAGTGTACGTCGGTGGTGGCGGCTTACCTCAGGCGCCATGGGGTCAAGATCTTCCCCTATCTGGATGACTGGCTGGTCAAGGGCAGCTCCTTCTGTCCACGTGCGCCACTTTGGGCCTGTTGGTAAACAACACCAAGTTCACGTTAATCCTGGTACAATGCATAGAGTTTATCGGGGTGGTCCTGGACGCCACGTCGGCCAGAGCCTTGGGACAGATTCAAGACCCTGAAAGGGCTCATCGACACGGTCACAAGGTTTCCAGTGACAACAGCCAGAGCGTGCCTCCAGCTCTTGGGTCACATGTCAGTGTGCACATATGTGGTCCGCCACACCAGACTCAGGATGAGGCCCCTCCAGCTCTGATTGGCCTTGGCATTCTCCCAGGCCAGAGACAGGATGGACAAAGTCCTCACTGTGCCCAAACCGGTGATTGCCTCCCTACAATGGTGGTCCTCCCCAGGGAACATGCTCCACGGGGTCCCGTTCAGAGGCAGGCCTCCATTGATGGAATTGGTGTCCAATGCATCGGACCTGGAGTAGGGAGCCCATGTGAGGGACATTCAGACCCAAGGTCTGTGGTCTGCGCAGGACCTGGCCCTCCACATAAACATCAAGGAGCTCAGGGTGGTGCGGCTGGCGTGCATGGCCTTCCGCTCGCACCTGGAGGGCCGTGTCATCAGGGTTTTCACGGACAACACGGCCTCGATGTTTTATATCAACAGGCAAGGCAGGTCCCGATCCTCTGCCAGGAAGCCCTCAGGCTGTGGGACTTCTGTATAGTCCACGTCATTTGCCTGCAGGCCTACCATCTGCCAGGCTGGGATGGGGTGCTATCTCCGATCCCTGACTCCTGTCCTGGTCAGGCCAGTTTCTCTATGCCTTCCCCCCCATTCCCACTGTTAGGCAAGGTCCTGGAAAAGATAAAGACAGACAGGGCCCGGGTCCTACTGATTGCCCCGACATGGCCTAGGCAGCATTGGTACGGGACCCTCATGGGCCTAGCGGTCGCCCTGCCATGGCCGTTGCCGTCCCGCCCAAACCTGCTCTCCTAGGACCAGGGCCGTCTCCTCCACCCCAACCTCGCAGCACTCCACCTCACGTGGCTGCTCAATGGTTAGGCCGGGAGGAGTGGACATGCTTGGAAGGGGTTCAGCGCGTCCTCTTGGAAAGCAGGCGACCCTCCACGCACCGAGCCTACTTGGCAAAGTGGTCTCGGTTCTCCTGATGGGTGGATGAGCGGGGTGTTTCCCCCATGGTTGACCCGATCCAGCTCATTTTGGACTACCTCCTTCACCTTAGAGCCCAGGACCTGGCGCTCTCGTCCATCAAGGTGGACTTGGCGGCCATATCGGCCTTTCATCCTCTGGTGCAGGGCCACACAGTATTCTCCCATGCTATTACTGGCCAATTCCTTAAGGGATTAGATCGTCTCTTCCCGTACGTCAGGCCCCCAGTCCCACAGTGGGACCTGAACCTGGTGCTGGCCCGCCACACAGGCCCCCTGTTTAAGCCGCTAGCTACGTGCTCCTAGTCGCACTTCTCGTGGAAGGTAGCCTTCCTGGTGGCGATCATGTCGGCTAAGCGGGTCTCGGAACTCAGGGCTCTGAACTCCAAGCCCCCGTACATGGTGTTCCATAAGGATACAGTCCAGCTCCGCCCACATCCTTCATTCCTCCCGAAGGTGATCTCTGCCTACCACATGGGTCAGGACATTTTCCTGCCGGTCCTCTGCCCCAATCCCCATGCGTCTAGTGAGGAGTGCCACCTCCACACGCTGGATGTGCAATGGGCTCTGGCTTTCTACCTGGAGCGGACAAAACCATTCAGAAAGTTCTCGCAGCTGTTCATCACCTCGGCCGAACGCATAAAGAGTTGGCCGATCTCCACTCGGCGACTCTCCAAGTGGATCACATCGTATATCCGTACCTGTTATGATCTGCGGGAATCCCCCCGCCGTCAATTGTGAGGGCACGTTCGACTAGGGCGCAGGCCTTGTTGGCTGCCTTTTTGGCCCATGTCCCCATCCAGGAAATTTGTAGGGCTTCTACATGGTCTTCAGTTCATACTTTCATCTCGCATTATGCGATCATCTCCCAAGCTAGGGAGGACGCCGGGTTCGGCAGGGCTGTGCTCTGTCCCGAGAATTTGTGAACTCCTACCCACCTCCAACAGTTATAGCTTGGAATCACCTATTGTGGAATACACCTGAGCAATCACTCGAAGAAGAAAAGACAGTTACCTGTTCCATAACTGGTGTTCTTTGAGATGTGTTGCTCATGTCTATTCCACATTCCGCCCTCCTTCCCCTCTGTCGGAGTTGTCTGGCAAAAAGAAACTGAGGGTGGGGTGAGTGCACAGCGCCCTTATACCATGCCATGGAGGTGCCACTCCAGGGGTCACTCCAGGGGTCACTAGGGGCTCTCCCCTACGGGTACTGCTAGGGGAAAAACTTGCTGCACTGGTGCATGTGGCGAGCACGCACACACCTATTGTGAAATAGACATGAGCAACATATCTCGAAGACCACCAGTTACGGAAAAGGTAACTGTCTTTTCTCTCCGTTAATGACCTGCTACTGTTATAGATCATGCTGTGGCCTTCTGTACTCGAAGCATCTATTTGTATGGTTCTGAATCCACTAATTCTATGTGATTCTTCATCTATTCACAGCAAGCAATTGATGATGAAGTGATAGCAGTAGTTAGGAAAATGGCATCAGGTGGAGGAAAGAGGCATATTTTTGTCTGTTAAAAGAACAGCAGAAAGAAAATTGGAATCTCTTCTATTTTAATCATTAAAATGGCCTCTATCACATTCAGTCTGTAAAATGAGGTTTCATCAACTAGCCTGAATAAAGATTATGTTGCTGATTTCCCATCATCAAAATGCACTTATGGGAAAGAATATCTCCTTCTGTTCTTGTTTTCTGGTCTTCAGTTAGGTTTAAAATGCTGTTGCATTACTACTTGTATATTTTCCCTACCATCAGTGGTTGCCAAGTCATTAATAGTATAAAGAAGAAGAAAAATCCTGTATTACAGATGCAGATTTAAATTTACATCCAAAGCTAAGTATTTTGGGTTTAGACTTCAACAGCTTCACTTTCACTCTTATTCCCCCCGTGTAATTATTATATTATCTTAATAACAGTGTCACATACAAGAATGCATATTAGTGTGAAAAATGCATCTTTTTAAAGATTGTAGCAAACTTAAAAAAATAACAAAAGAAAGACCCTTCCTGAGCTGGCTTGAAAAATATGTTCATTGTGCACTTTTCTTTGTACAGAACCGAGACACAAAAGAAAGTGGGAAGAAATCCCATAGCCGCTCATTAATGGGCAATTTTGGGAAATACAAGGTAGGTGGAACTCATATCTGTTGTTTGTCTAAGAGTTAATAAATAGAGCTTACTCAATGACCATGGCAGAACCAGGCCCTATACTTCCGTTTTGTAAAAGTGTAATTTTTCATGGCTTTTAATTGCATTTCAGATAATATCTGAATTTTTGTGGCGTTGCATGATCTGATCCTTTAATCTGTTATACCAGTTTTATGTCAGCATAACTCCATTTAATCATGCTGGTTTAATTCAAATGAAATCAGTGAAGTTACACTAGTGTGGAAGTGGTATAATGGAGAAGAGAATCAAGCCTCCTATTTGTAAATAGATCATAAAATTGCACTGGTTTAAAACTAGTAGGTTTTTGTTGTTGTTGTTGCTTTAGCTAAGTGCACATGTTCACAATCTTTGTCTTTCAGGGAACTAAAAGGTGAGTAATAAGAAATCCATTCAATACACAGGTAATTTCTACAAGTAACATACAAGCTAATGGGTGTTACACATTGGAATCCCATGTACACAGATCAGATAATAAATGCTCTATACTGGGATCCCAGATAAAGAAATCCATTGCTAAAAAAACTGAAATTACTGGCTACACTGAGGAGTGGAAAACGTTTTAATAATTTAATCACTTCAACTAATTATTCTAATTGGCAGTTGGATGCCCCATTTACTTCAGATCTTTGCTGAAATAAGTAAGACAGAGTATTATTTTTTTTAATGACTTTTGCAGACAGACCAAGACAGACTTAGAATAACTTAACCCTTAGAACACTGTCATTTTCCATGCTGGCAGCCAAAAGGATGCTTAGGATGATATATAGTAGTAGTAATCTTCACATGTACAGACTCTCAAAACTCTAAGCAGACATTAATGAATTCTCACAACAGAACAGTATGCTATGTAACTTTAAGTGGATACCCTGTGAAAGAGGGTAAACTGAGGCACAGGGGGTTTGAGGCCAATATTTTTAAATATTAGTACCTAAAATTACTCACCTAAATCTAAATTTAGGCTCCTAAATAAATGGCCTAATTGGAAGCTGTGTGTGCATAGCCACTGTGAAATTCAGGATACTTATTCAAGTGTATTAAATGTAAATGCTTTGAAAATTTGGAACTTTGGAAATCGGGGTTAAGTAAAGTATCAGAGGGGTAGCCGTGTTAGTCTGGATCTGTAAAAAGCAACAGAGTCCTGTGGCACCTTTAAGACTAACAGATATATTGGAGCATAAGCTTTCGTGGGTGAATACCCACTTCGTCAGACGCATAAGTAACTATATCAGGTTCACTCACTGAGTCATTGACAGAGCTGTAAGTGGAATTCAGGAGTCCAGACTCCCAGCCCCCAGATTTAAGACTAAACAGCATACATAATCTCCAAAAGGGTTGATTATTCTATTTCAGCACTGAGGACAGAAGGATCAACTCAGTTATGGTCTTTATTTATTAAATTAAATAAAATCTGTGACGTTCAGATGGAATGTAGTAGGATTAATCTGCGAGAGAAAGGAAAAGGAATTCTGACTTACACAGTAGCCACCTCTTAATACTGAGAGGGGAAATTAAAGAGCTCTTTGAACTGCAGTCAGAATGTCACTGAATATGTAAGAATGTTGAAATCAAAGGTTGGAGAGACTACACTATAGAAAAGATATTTTCAGTAAACTGGCTACTTGTTGGCATCACAAAAGCTACAGTTGGCAATCATTATTGCTATTTAAAAGAGAGATGCTTATGAAAAGAGAATTCTTTCGAAATGTTAGCCTTTTTATTGTAGGTAGAAATTTTATTGTGTATTGTATGGAATTAGAATCTTTTGATCCTTTCATATACTGTATGGCTCATAAAACAGAAACAAACTTTAAGATGTTTGGAAATTTTGATTAGAGACTGTTTGGGAATGCATTTGTTAATCTTCTCTTATAAATGGCACAGAAGTCATAGCTGGAAGCAATTCATTTTGTATTTGTGTTACTTTCTATTAAAGATCTTTTGCTGTTATTAAATATACTATGGTACATAAGAAATCCAATATGACCAATACTAGTTTAGTGGAAACAGCAGTCATGATTTTGGTTTTATTACAGGCCAAATACTGGCTCTCATTTTTATCTCCCACCTATAATCTATCCTCTCATTAGCCTTTGCAAAAGCATATATGCAGGTTATTTGTACCAAAAGTATAGTGCAAGTGAAGGAGGAGTGTAACGTGATAGTGGGTCCAAGGGTGAGGTGGAATTCATGTGGATGATGTCTACAAATCCTGTCCCAGATTGCTGCACTGCTGTTTAATCCATGGAGCGCCTGTGGGGTGTGAAGACCTTGAATTTTGTGAGCGTAAAAATCAGGGCACAAGAGCCTACCCCACAGATCCCATCTTGGCTATCTTTTATCCTGTATTTGCAGAGTTGCCAGCAAGAATGTAGCCCCATGTTCTCTAATACATTACACTGAGACAGTAAGACGATGGCCATTGCCTATTTTGAATCAAAACCAGATCTGTTATTTTTTTAAATCATAGAAATGAGATATATAAAATACCAGTCAGGTCACCTGGTGCATCTTTGGGGCATCTTAAACTCCATTTAATGTCAGTAAAGTGTTGTGGATTTACATGGCAGATGGATTCATTGATTTCCCCCAACAGAAAGCTGTCAAATCAAGGTCCAAATCTCATAGCACATCTGAGGATGAAGAAAGTCAACAAAATTCTTCTGGAAAGGAAACTGGGCAGTTGTACAGGTCAGAAATCCCCACAATTTTTGATGTCATTAAAAAAGAGAGACATTTTGCCATTAAATCTCCATATTGTGCTTTATGCCATCCCAGTGACCTAAGTCAGTTCTCAATAGCAAATCTGTTGTGTCGCCTGCATTGTTGAAATGTATTTGCATAAAATCCCAATACTGAGTTAAATGGCATTTCAGTGAAATACAAATAATAATTACTTTTAAATTGAATAGAAATGGTGCAGCAATACTTAGCTAGTGGAAAAAAATCCAAAATCAATTTTACATGAAAATAGACTGAATAAAAGCACATCACAACCTCTCCCAGTTCATTACAGCTGAGAATGGAATAAATGCATTTTCAAGTATGCATTTATTGCATTTAAAATGTCCCTTTTGCTGATTTTTTTCTAAAGCTGGTTGCCCATCTTGTTTTTGTTAGTATAACACGATATCTAGAATGTGTATGTGTGTGTGAGAGAGAGACACAGAGGGAGAGAGAAACAGGGGTTTGGAATGAACCATAATTTTAGAGATTGCCCCAAATCCTGTTTAGTAAGCCTGTTGCTTTTCCTTTATTTCTTGCTATTTAAACTTGTCTTTCAGTTAGGAAACAGCTATAGTTAATATATAGTATAAATGGATATAACGGTGCTCAGTTGTGAATTAATTTTTTGAAAAGGACAGAATTACAGAGGAGAGATTTAAATAATTTGTAAGTATTAAAAATAAAAATCTGCTTTGTTTTTAATATATAATGTTACTCAACAGGTTGGGCCGCCGGAGAAAAACCATGAAGCTGTGCCGTGCTCTTTCTGATTTAGTGGTGTACACAAACTCTGTGGCAGCCCAAGATATAGTAGATGATGGTGAGACTGTGGATGTAAATTTCACTTATATAAGTGTTGTTATTTCACTTGACTATCTTTGGATGGGACACATGCCTGTGGTCTTAAGTTTCCTCTATTTTCAGAGAACTTTTAAAAGTTGATCAGGTAGCTCATAGGCTCATAGACTTTAAGGTCAGAAGGGACCATTATGATCATCTGGTCTGACCCCCTGCATGCTGCAGGCCATAAAACCGTCCCCTGATAAAAGCTCATCAGTTCTTATCACCTATCTTTATCCATGGAGAAAGATAGTATAACACAGTGGTGTGCAACCTGTGGTCCATCAGGGTAATCTGCTGGCGGGCCGCAAGATAGTTTGTTTATATTGACCGTCCACAGGCACGGCCGCCCACAGCTCCCAGTGGCCATGGTTCACCATTTCTGGCCAATAGGAGCTGCGGTAAGCAGTGGCCAGCATGTCCTTGTGCCCCGCGCCACTTCCTGCGGCTCCCATTGGCCGGGAACGGCAAACTGTGGCCACTGAGAGCTGCAGGCGGCCGTGCCTGCGGACAATCAACGTAAACAAACTGCCTTGCGGCCTGCCAGTGGATTTCCCTGATGGGCTGCATGCGGCACGCGGGCCACAGGTTGCCCACCACTGGTATAACGCCTTCCTTTTCTTCCCCAGAGAAATGTGCCCTCCCATGTTTCTTCAGTTTCCTTGTGAGTTTCATAATTTAGTAATGCTCCCTCTGTGTGATTCTGGGAATGCAGACTCTTCCAGGAGAAGCTTGTATGGTTTCACTGTATTATGAGATTTATCTTAGTTTTTATCATAACAGTATGCTACTATTATTTAATATTAATATTATGCAGTGCCCAGAGGCCCTAGTTGGGATCAGGACTTCTTTATGCTAGGTGCTGTATAGAAGTACACATGGTCTCTGCCCCAAAGAGCTTACTGTTGTTTTTCTAGACAAGGTAAAATGGAAATTGACAGGGCTAAGATGGAATTTGAAGAGCAGATAGCCAAAGATGTAAAAACAAACAAGAAATTCTACGTGTATGTCAGCTTGTATGGGAATATATGGGCTTTCGGACTACCAGTGAGTAAATGGAGTAATTAAGGAGGATAAAGGCATTGCAGAGAAACTCAGGCCAAGCAATCTAAAAGTGACTAGTTGTTTTGGGTGAATTTTGGGTCTGATATTCAGATGCTGAATGCTCAGTATTTCCTGAAAATCAGCCCCCTTTAGAGTTTCTCATGTTGGGCATCTCCACCTAGAATACTGTGCTTAGTCCTGGTCATTGTAGCTCAGAAAAAAGACAGAAATGCTCAGAGGAAAGATTTCTACATTAAAAAAAGATTGAAAAGACTGGGTCTCTTGAGAGAGTAGATGAATAAGCGGAGGTGTGATTGATATACAGGTGGGAGACTGGGTGCTACAATTTACCCTTTCACGTAGAACAAGGACTTGAGTACACTTGGTGAAACTGAAAGACAATAGATGTAAAACTGATTAAAGAAAATACTTCTTCACACATTGCCTAATAAACTAGAGGAACTCATTGCCGCAAGATGTCATTGAGGCCAAGAGTTTAGTAGCATTTTTACTAGGATTAGATGTTCATAAGAGTAATAAGAACAGTAGGCTAAACATTTTTATTGGGGAACTAAACCTTCATGATTCAGGGTACAAGACAACAACTAACTAATAGGGCTTGGAAGAAACTTGTCCTGTGACTAGATTATTCCACAATTGCTACTACAGGCTTTTGGCACCTTCTTCTGACGTATCTGGTACTGGCCACTGTCAGAGGTCTAGCTGTGGATCACAGGTCTAGTCTTACAGATCAGCTCCTCAGTTCCTAAGTGCTGAAAGTGAACACTTGTTCTTTTAAAAAAATATAAATGCTTTTCTATTAGCTGCAAACATTTCTTAATTTCTGTAGCAATTTGTACTGCCTTTTTCAGCTCTCCCAGAATAGTAATATAAGCAAAGACTAATTATGCCACTGAGCAGCTTTAAATATCTGAAAGTGACAGATACTGCTCAGGGGCTCTGTTTAATTAGAGTATCTGTCTCTATATGGAAGATAGAAAAAACAAATTCAAGTGCAAGGGTTATTTCTGCTTAAAAGAATACTGTGCAGAGAATTATGAACCTACATTTAAAAGCACTTCAGCCATAGAGACAAGCTATATAAGAGTGCAGGACAATGCCTACTGACTTAGGGAAAGGTGAGAATCAGGGTAATGTTTTAGGCCCCAAATGAGAACCCAAGCTTTCATGCAAATATTTCCTCTAGTGGAATGAATTCAGGAGACTCTGGATTGCATAGGAGTTCTCCTCCCATGGATCTGGGGGATCCACAGGGAAGGGCATCCCTGATCCATAGAGAAAGGAGGTGACTTTCTGTGGGGCTGAGCTGATTACTCTCTCCCCCTCTCTACAAGGCTTCAGCAAGATTTTAGCCATTGTCATTGTGCGAGTCCCCTGTAGCTTCTCAGCAACAGTTCCGGCTGGGGCTTTCCAGGATATGATGCATTTTCAATTAGCGTTGACTCCTGCCTGGTTTTCCACATACGCCTGGAAAGCAGGAGGCCGAGCAAGGGACAGTCCTGCAAATGGAGGTTGGTACCTTGGTCTATTCCGTCCCATTCCAGCCCTTGCCCAAATCCCTATAGAAGAAAGACCTAGAGGCGCAAACTTGCAGGTGAGATAGGGCAAGGTTACAGAAAGAGCACAACAGCAAGGCAGTGCTATTCTGAGGTCTGTGTGATCTATCCTTCCAGGGTAGCGTGGAAGAGGATTGTCAAAGCCTGAGGGGATTTGCAGACTGTCAGGAGGTAGCTGAAAGATCTCATGGGTATATGGAGGTAGGATGAGGGAGAACCTAATCATAGGTATGGAAAGAGTTTGTTCATTATACAACAGCTTTATTGAACTCAAGACAGTTTAGGAATATTGCCTAATGGGAATTAGCGGCCATATTTTATATCTTTTCCACTTGATCTCCAGCTGTCAGAGTAAAGCAAGCATATGATATGATGATCGGTGAATCTAGACTAACTCCACTGATGTCAGTCCAACTAACCTGTGAATATAGCAATTTGTCTCACAGTTGTTGTTCTTGTTTTTTTTTAAACTATAAACACATAGGGACTATGGGAAATGTGTTGTCATTCAGTGAAACGAGGGCCCACCAGGTAGTGCAGCAGAAGTCTGAGCAGTTTATACTTTACAACCAGAAACAGCTCACCAGAATCTATCCATCTGCATATCGGATTGACTCCAGCAATTTCAACCCCTTACCGTACTGGAATGCTGGTTGCCAGCTGGGTAGGTGTTTTATGTATGTAATGTTTTCACATGGGTTTTATGTTAAATGCAAGTTACAGTTACACTAATCAATGATTCCTAAATCTCTTAATTCAACAGTGGCATTAAACTACCAGTCTGATGGGCGCATGATGCAGGTTAATCAAGCAAAGTTCAGGATGAATGGCAACTGTGGGTATGTCCTCAAACCTCAGCAGATGTGCAAAGGTAATGTCATACTACACATTTATTATTATTATGGCAGTTATTTTAGAAAATGACTTTTGCAGTCAGTTTTCCATTATTTTGCATGTAGAGCTAAATATCTAGAATAAAACAAGGAATTAAAACAAGAACTTGCATGGGAGCTTTTTGACACATATAAAATAATTAGCTTGGTTTGCATCTGACTTTTTAAATGATTAAATGAAAGGCACATTTGCAGTGTTTGCTATCAACCTTAAAAAAATGACTGCCAGCGTTCTGAATGTATAAATACTATAATATGATCTCTCAGAGTTAATCTAGGTAAGTTATTAGCACCCAGTCTTGTGATATTCTGGGTCCCTCCTACAAAGTGTAGACCTGCCTGAGCAACTTGGGAGGTGAAGTTGCTTAACACCCCATAGCAGTCAGCTTTTGCGGCCTGATCTGTCACTGAAATCAATGGGCATCCTGGTATTTCTGGAACAGGAGTCAGTGATCCTTATGCTCATACAGTGAGCACATTTCTATTTGTTTAGGGTTTTGGTTTTGCCACCATCATTTTAAAATCACATTATTTCTTTGAGCCAGTTTAACACTGGAACTGGTAGGATCATTCTCATAAAATGTGCCTGGGCCTATGTAGTTAGAGGTCCTTGAATGAGCCCTCTGCATCAGGGAGAATGTCATTTGTAGAAATTAAGTTATAGACAGGAGGCCCAATCAAGCATGTGATTATATGATGTTATTTATTCTATGCATTCGGGAGGGTAGGAGTTCTGTTTTTTTCTCCTGTATAGGATTTCTGATATTAAGGGTTTTATTTTTTCTCATTCTCTGCAAACCTCTAGGTACATTCAACCCTTATTCCGGTGATCCACTTCCTGCCAACCCTAAAAAGCAGCTTATTCTCAAAGTCATCAGTGGACAGCAACTACCTAAGCCTCCAGATTCAGTATTAGGAGACAGAGGGGAGGTAAAGTAGTTTGAGTGATACTAAATACTTTTTTTCACTATAACTGTCATAGAATGCCTGGGAGTGACATGGGAGCATTTGTCCTAAAGAGAGCTTTTCTCCTAAATTAAAATATGCCAGTAATTTTCAGATGTTCAGGATTTGCACATGAGATCTGGATTTTTCCCACAATTCCTGTATTCTATATATTCTGCTGGTTAGTATTTCTTCAGCTGTTAGCACTGATCTGAAAGTTTATTCCACCTGGCCACATGTCCCAGTGTCACAAAACAGCAATGATGAAACCTACATCATTCTGTAGTCTACTGTGGCATTTCCCATAATCACACTGAGCAGTGGCTTTAGCATTCAAATGTGCATTTATGTGAGAGTTTAATAGAAAATTATCTTTTATATATAAGGACGAGTTGCTTTTAAATTGTTGTTTTTTAAAATAGATAATAGATCCTTTTGTCGAAGTGGAAATTATTGGGTTACCTGTAGATTGCTGTAAAGACCAGACCAGAGTGGTTGATGACAATGGTAAGATAACGTACCCTACTTCCTCTTTTCTATAGTAAATTATTGAATAATTATGAATGACTAGAATAATTTACCAGAGACGCAAAGAGTGATGAACATAGTATTTTTTTTGGTCACACTTTATATTAAAAGAATATTTATCAATACACCTCTACCCCGCTAGAACGCTGTCCTCGGGAGCCAAAAAACCTTACCACATTATAGGTGAAACCGCGTTATATCGAACTTGCTTTGATCCACCGGAGTGCACAGCCCTGCCCCCCTGAAGCGCTGCTTTACCACATTATAACCAAATTCATGTTCTATCAGGTCGCGTTATATCGGGGTAGAGGTGTAGCTTATAAACAGTTAATGAACAGGTCAAAAACTTGGTTAAAATAAGGGCATATATCTATAAAACCTTTACTGATGTATTTAGAACCATCAATAAAACATATTTCTCATGTCTATAATATGCTTATAACTACTATTAATCATTTATTAGCCTTTTATAAGTTATTTATAAATGTATCCTTAATATGAAGTACAACCATATTTTCAAATAATAAAAAAGATATTGCTAGATCAATGCAGAGGAGAGCTGTGGAATGCTGAGGTGTCAGCTGCTGACCTACTAATCCTTCAGGGATTGCATGGACTTTTTTCTCATTTGGTTTAAGCCCCACCTAAACAAGGTTTTTAATCATTTTGAGAAATTGTGTTTAACATCAGTTCCAGCAAAATCAGTTTCAACTGGCCATTGCGGATATGGTTTGGAAAAAAGAGTGTTAGAAACTGTGTTTAGCCCAAATTTCTTAAAAGGGTAAAAAACGTCCATGCTTAGACATGCTAATATGGTTTGGTCAACCAATGCAAATGGTTGCTGTAATCTAGGCTGCTACATAATGCAGTTATTCAGGCATGGTTTGCCATGTCCATATTGGCCAGCCAAACCAAGTTAGGAACTGGTTAGAGTCAGAATTTTCCACACTCAAATAACAATTGTGTTATGGGACCCAGTTACTTCACTCCTCTGATAATTAGAAACCTTTGTTTAATTTCAAGCCTAAACTTGTTGAAGGCCAGTTTATATCCATTTGTCCAACACTGGCCCTTAAGTTAAATAATTCCTCCCCCTCCCTGGTGTTTGCCTCTCTGATGTATTCATAGAGAGCAATCAGATCTTCCCATAGACTTCCTTTTATTAGGCTAAACAAGTCAAGCTCCACAAGTCTCCTCTTGTCAGGCAGGTTCTCCATTCCTAAATAAATAAATAAATGGAGATATCCTATCTCCTAGAACTGGAAGGGACCTCAAAAGGTCATTGAGTCCAGCCCCCTGCCTTCATTAGCAGGACCAAGTACTGAGTTTGCCCCAGATCCCTAAGTGGCCCCCTCAAGGATTGAACTTGCAACCCTGGCTTTAGCAGACCAATCCTCAAACCACTGAGCTATCCCTCTCCCTATTTCTCTGGTCCTAGTAGCCTCTCTCTGCATCTGTTCCAGGTTTAATTAATCTTTCTTAAATATGGGAGATCAAAACTATATGTAGTATTCCAGATGAGGTCTCACCAGGGCCTTGTACGATGGTAATAACACTTCCCTGTCTCTACTGGAAATACTTTGCCTGATGCATCCTAGGATTGCATTTGCCTTTTGCATGGCCACATCACGCTGGTGGTTCATAGTCATCCTATGGTTGACCAGTATACTCAGGTCTTTCTCATCCTCTGTCACTTCCAACCAGTAAATCCCAAGTTTGTAGCAAAAATTCTTATTGCTAGTTCCTACATGCATGACGTTACACATTTTACCATTCAATTTCATCCCATTTCTGTAACTCCAGTTTTCAAGATTGTCCAAATGTCCTTGTGATATTCTGGTCCTTCTCCATGTTATTATGTCCCTGATGAGTTTGAGAATTACCTTCTAGTGATTGACAAGGGTGAAATTTCCATGCTGATTTTTATCTGGGTCTGCAGTTTTTGATAGTACACCTCTACCCTGATATAACGCTGTCCTCGGGAGCCAAAAAATCTTACCGCGTTATAGGTGAAACCGCGTTATATCGAACTTGCTTTAATCTGCCAGAGCGCGCAGCCCCCCCCCCCCCCGAGCGCTGCTTTACAGCGTTATATCCGAATTCATGTTATATCAGGTCATGTTATATCAGGGTAGAGGTGTATTTGACTATAAATTATTGTTGAATTGTTCCTGGCATGCACCTAGCGACATGGAGTAGGCTAGCACAGAGCTGCTCTGCTCTTTCCAGAGGGCCTTCTTGCGTAGAGGACATTTCCTGAGGCTGTTTTCTCCCCCTTTATGGCCCTTTTACCCCACCAAAGCTATATAAAGGCAACAGGGCATACAAGAGAGTCAGGCCCTAAATGTTTTAGTCTTTTGGGGTCTATTCTTCTCTGCTACATCTATGTGTAATTCTCTCTCCAATGGTTATTGAATTATACTCTTAGGGACAGATTCTGCCATCCTTGCCTCATGTTAAGTAATACTGTAGTAATACCTTGTTATGCTGGTAGTCCCATTGAACACTAACACTGGTGAAGGTATCCATAGTGATTACAATGGGACAATTTCCAGGGTAAGTTATTACACAGCATGTGAAAGGGGTGGCAGGATCTGGTCCTTAATTAGGCAGTTAACATAGTTCTGACGTATTCAAGCCACAGTCCCTATAGAGTGAAGAATGGGCTGGAATCTCCTAGCTAGTGAGAAGAGAAGAAAACAAGGCTAACCCTTCAATTTTTAACAAGAGTCCTGGGAAGAGGGCAGGTGTGAGTAATAATTGAACTTCTCACGGTAGAATCATGGAAACAGCGACATGACAGAAGCTGTCTGCAGGTAAGATGACAACCAACACCAGAACCAAGAAAAACAAAATGGTTAAGAAAAATCCTGTGTCTGCAGTCAACTATATCAGTCAGATACTGTATTACTTTTTTTTGCATCGGTGTTGGACTGCAAAGCTTGATAGCACATGAAACCAAGTGACTGTCTTTTGTTGCATGATATATCCTTGGATCTTAAACTTTAAAATTCTGCTTTCTAGCCAAAAATTGCAGGAGTGGGATAAATAAGATAATGGAGTGGTTGAGAAGGGAGAATGCCTTCCTCACACTCTCTCTCTTTTTCCTTGACTCTGCTTCTGTCTCCTTTACATAGAAGTCCCTAGTACTTATCACACAGCATGCATGGTATATACAAGTAATGAGAAACAAAATGAAAACAAACAATGCCACAGACAGCCTCTCTGCCACATCAGCCCCTATGGGACACGAGGCTAGCAACAGAGTGGAACAGCCCGGAAATGGGGCTGTCAGTTCTCATGAATGGCAGTGACCCATGGAGAAACACAGGGATCGTTCCTGGGCATCTTGGCCTAGCTGAGCTTGACCTTCACACAAGTAGCACAGCAGTCTGCCCTGCCATGCCACCACATGCAGACTCTTTGCCAGATGCTCAATCCAGACCCTTTCTGTTGTTCATAAAAGCTGCCAGAGAGATACTACTCATTTTTCTGCATATGGATCTCTTCAGACAGCTGCATAGGCACGTCATAGTGCTGCAGTCTGTGTAAATTACAATGCAAAATGGATTAGTGGCTATTCTCCTCATTCCATCCTCTTGGCTTGCCACGCATACAGCTCAACTCCCATGTAGCAGCCACAGGTGCCAACCCCTTGGCACCGGTGGGTGCTCGCCCGCATCGCGACTCCGCCTCCTCCCTGCCAATGTTGGACTCCTCCCCAAATCCCCGCCTCGACTCCGCCTCTTCCCCGAGCGCGCCGCATTCCTCCTCCTCCCCCTCCCTTCCACCGCTTGCCGCCCAAAACAGGTGCTGGGAAGGAGTGGGGAGAAGCATGCTCAGGGGAGGAGGCAGAGTGGAGGTGAGCTGGGGCGGGGAGCTGCCGGTGGGTGCAGAGCACCCACCAATTTTTCCCCATGGGTTCTCCAGCCCCAGAGCACCCACGGAGTCGGTGCCTATGGTAGGCAGCCACAAAGCAAAGGCCCCACTTAGGGAAGGGAAATGGCTATGTTGCAGCATCTTCATTTATTTGTCTGCTAGTGACTGAGGGATAGCTCAGTGGTTTGAGCATTGGCCTGCTAAACCCAGGGTTGTAAGCTCAATCCTTGAGGGGGATCTGGGGCAAAATCAGTACTTAGTCCTGCTAGTGAAGGCAGGGGGCTGGACTCAATGACCTTTTGGGGTCCCTTCTAGTTCTATGAGATAGGTACATTTCCATATATATATTTAATGGGAAATAACGTATAGTCACTTGTGCATCAGGTCTGTTTGAGTGGCTGTTTTCCTTACCTCTGGTGTTTCACAGATAATAACGTCAACATTGGCTGCGGTTGCTGTATTTTCCTGACTTTCTATTCTGTTTGTCCCATAGGATTTAACCCTGTTTGGGAGGAAACTCTCACTTTTACCATCCACATGCCTGAAATAGCTTTGGTTCGATTTCTTGTTTGGGACCATGATCCTATTGGTCGAGATTTTGTTGGACAACGAACTGTGGCCTTCAGCAGTCTTGTGCCTGGTTAGTTCCACTCATTGACTTGACTTTGATGTTTAGTTGAAAATAGGAGGAAGGATAGTTTTGTAGTTAAAGTATAGAATGGAGAGTCAGAACAGCTGGGTTCTATGCCCAGCTCTTCCACAGACCTCCTGTGTGACATTAGGCAAGTTGCTTAATAGCTATGAGGGGGAATCCTCAAAGCTACCTCAGGGATTTAGATCCCAGTTCCATGGGCTTTTGAAAGTCTCAGCCTCTGTATCTGTCTCCTCACCTGTAAAATGGAGAGAAATACTTATTTACCTCACTAGGGGGTTGTAAGACTAAACTCATTAATGTTTGTGAAGCCATTTGAGGTTCTCAGATGGAAGATGTTATGAAAGGGGACTGTATTATTATTAATAAACAATTGCTCAGAGTTACTGTATATGAAATGTATAATTGCAAAAGACATTGTATGGACAGCCTTGCTAACTGCACATAAAATGCATAGTGCTGATTCTTTACTTTGTTTTCTCATTTTATTAGGCTATCGTCATGTCTACTTAGAGGGACTAACTGAAGCATCCATATTTGTCCATATAACAATCAATGAAATGTATGGAAAGGTAGGTATACATGGGAACATAAATACTTTACAAATGTTTCTGTGTCGTACTGCTGGCAACAGTGGGTTAAGATGCATCAGTCTAACCTCATAGAACTAATGGGAGCAATAATCACAAGAGACATAGGGCCTGATTCTCCAGTGCTCTGCACCTTGTGTCGTCATTTACACCACCCAGTTTCACTCCCTTAGCCCTTATGTAAATGACTACACAAAGCACAAGGTGATGGCGAATAAGGCCCATAATATTAAATTTCCCCCCTGACCCTTACAGAAGATCACTTTAACCACAAAGCAATATCATTGCCATAATCCTAGCATGCATAACTGTGAATGCTCTTTTCTTTGTCACCTAATATTCATTTCTCACCTAGGTACAGTAAGTACATCCCTAAAGGCTCATTTTAAGTTACTTTATTTTTAAAAAGTAATTGTCAAGAGCTGTAGTCACACCATTTCTTCTGGGTATTTGACAAGACGTTTTAAACTCCGATTTTAGTTCTCAACCATTTAAGTTGTAGCATGTGAAGTGTTGTTGCTTTTCTGCGATGTTTCAAAAGATGAAAATTTTTTGAAACTTCATGTTTTAAAATGAAAGCAAAAGCTCAGTGCATTACTCATTGTTTCAGCGTTAGCTGCCTCTGTTCAACAGTTTACAAGAGGTTTACTATAAATAGGGGTTTAAAAGGATTACCAGAAGTCAACGGCATAGATAAGTTAATTAAAACAGAAAGGGGTACCAAGAATAAAAAGGACCTTCATTTCAATGACTATGTTTAGATTTATTTTTTTAGGGAGTGTGAAAAGAGGAATCAGGTAGCTCAGAGTCTTTTTCTCTGCTCAGAGCAGATCTAAACAACACGATCTAAAACCAACACCACCAGCACTTTGTCTGCACTAAAGCACCTGCAGTTGCTCCAATGAGTAGATCTGCATCAGCGGAAATATTTGAGGGGAGAAGGCGAGTGTAGACGGGGCCTAGGTCACCAGTCCAGCTCAACAGTGACTGAATTTGTGACCATTTCATGAACATCCTGCCCTATGTTAAATGAGTTGGCGATGTCAGTCCAGATTCATGTGTACAGGTGTTTACCCCACAGTTGGCACCCTGGTCTCAGCATGTAAGTGGGATTGAATGCACATGGGAACTGAATTACTTGCTCTTACCTCCGGAAGTGGTCTCTTCAACAAAGGGTGGAGGCCATTGCAGAGCAACTTGCATTGACACCACCTGGGCTGTATCTGTTCTGTGGAAACACAGAGATCTTCAGTTTCCAAAGTGATCAATCTGGCATCTTTCACCAACACTAAATCCATCTTAAAAGAAATTAAAAGGACTGAAGAAAAGGTATAGGGGCTCCCAGGATCTGTAGGGCTCCCAGGATCTGTAGAGGTATCCAGATGCAGAAGTGAATACAAATGAAATCCCATATCATTGACATTCAACAGGGATTGCTATTTGGCTCGCATACTCTTCAGAGAGGACAGAGTTAAGGAAAAAATTGAATTTCTGAGTAATTTCATAGTATAATTGGTCTGCATGATAGCACTAGGAGAGGATTTAAAAAACACCTGTGAGACTTGAGCTCTTCTATATAAAATTTTGCCCCGCCACCAAATGCTTACTTTAATGATGGACTGTATTGGTTTTTTTACAAGATATATTTAAAACCTGGAGGTACTTTCCATACGCTGTATAACTGAGGATACCTAGTGAAATGTCTATCTGAATGAGATTGGTGTAAGATTAATAATCTATTTTAAATGATTTAACTATAGAGAATTACTTACACCAACTATCTAACTATCTTGTTTGCTCGTGTCACAGCCTTGAAAATGTTAGCCAAATATGTTTGCATTTGTTTTCCTTTCAGTGGAGTCCTTTAATCCTCAATCCCAGTTATACTATATTGCACTTTCTAGGAGCCACTAAGGTAGTCTTCATTAGCATGCACTTTTCACTTGCTGGGCACAGATTTATCAAACAGTTCCCAGTCGCATGATGTACCATAACTACCATATCTCTTCATTCCTCATTAAGATTCTGAAATATTTAAATGTTGCTTTGATGAGGCCCATGTCATAAAACTCTACGTTAATGGGCAGCCTGTCACTACAGAGCATTTCTTACAGTCTTGTCAGCTCTGATTAGGAAACTTCTAGTAAAGATCCACAGTAATTATGGCAGGCTGCCTTCCTAATGAGGGGGAATTCATACATGCACGAACTCATGGTGACCTATGCTGATTGTTTCCTGGTCTGAATATGTGTGAATTAGTTGGTGTGAATTTTTGCTTTGCTTTGCTTTGTTTTTTGATGTTGCATTCATGATTCACAAATATATATTCAATAGCAATTTAAAACACAGGCTGAACTTAAAGACTGTGGTTGTTTTCTTGTTTTCAGAATAGGCAGCTGATAGGACTCAAAGGGTTGTTTAACAAGAATCCCAAACACAATTCTGCTGAAAACAATGGGCATTACGTGCGGAAACGATCAATTGGTGATCGAATTCTCCGACGCACAGCCAGTGCTCCGGCAAAAGGCAGGAAGAAGAGCAAAATGGGCTTTCAGGAAGCTACAGAAATTAAAGACGGTACCTCTGAGCCAACAGACATGAAAGACAAGGAAGGAGTTATAAGGCGTACAACCAGGAGTTTGCAAGCACGTCCTGCTTCTATGCCAGTTGACAAATTCCTTCTGATGGGATTGTCTTCACCAGAATGTGAAACGATTAAAGACACCAAAAGAGAAGAAAATACCTCTGGTAAGATGCTTCCAAAGCGACTTTTAGTGCAGTAGCTTTAAAACCATATTATTAAGCTCAGTGCTGCAATCCTCATGTGAGTAGTTCCATTGAACTTGTGTGAATAAGGACTGCAGGATCAAGCCCCATAGGATGTAAAATGACTGTTACGCTTATTAAAGTGATATGCAATAAAACTGACACTTGCATTTTTAAACTTCTTCCTGTATCCTGACAAGTGAAACCCAAGACAAGTTTCCTCTCCCCACACTAGGCAAATGGATTAGAGTATTTTCCACAGATTTGCTTAAAGAACACTTGTCAAGTTTCTTTTCATAATTAAAAAAATTAGCTTATTAGCAGTTGATTTTTTAAGTATTCTTTAGAAGCCTGAAGATGAAATCTACATCCTTGCCAAAACTGTTTTTTCCTCAATCATTTTCAAGCTCTGGGTTTGTTACTGTGAGTTTCCGCATGAGAGCCATGAGCATTGTGTATTTTTAATTTTTTTTTCAAGGGAAAAATAGCAGGAAGCATTTGTTTTGGAAACAATGTATTTAAAGAAAAACGTGGAGTTTGTAAACAGATGTAAAAGGGGAAAAGTAGGTCAAATTTTGAATCTAAGAACCTTGACATTGTCCTTTAAAATTCACTTTAAAAAATGATAAACCTGGATTATATGGGGGAAATGGTGAGTGAGGCTGGAATCTTAGTTATTTTTTATATTCCTAGATTAAACTATAAACGTTTACATGTAGTATGTTTTGATTCTTGAAGTTACTCAGAACAAAAATATTTGAGATCTACTGGGCCTGAGTTTGATATCTGATACACTGGGGTGAATCCAGTGGACTTTGGTGTAAAACCTGTGCCAATGAAATGCAGATCCAGCTCAATGTGCCAAACAGGGGACACACGGGAGTATCTGAATAGTTCCAGAAAGTCTGTAATTTTGTGGCATTGGTGTCTGAGACATTTTCGTTCCTGATCCAGAGCTCTCACCCACTCTGAAACATCTGAGTGGCACTTTTCTTTCTGCAAATACTCCATTCAGACATCTTCATGGCTCCAGAGATTGGCCATAGCCCCCTGCACCACAGGACTCTGTCAGGTGCCACAGGACTCTGTCGCTTTTTAAAGGTGAGGTTATTCTTCACCAGGGAACCAGACTAAATGTCACTGGGAATAAACTCTCTGGCACACAGATGACTGAATCAGCTCCTCTCCGCTTTCTCCTTCTTCTAGTACTAGGAAGAGTGATTTAGAAGATCGGAATGACCGTGGCCCTTCTCCTTTTTAAGCATCCTCAATTTGCTAAGAAGGCTGTGGTTCTCAGACCTAGTGGAGCTGTTGCCCAGGCAGGATGTACTCAATGGTCCAGCAGGCAGGCTCTCCTGTTCTCTGGCCCACTTTTGTATCTCTGTCCAGATTACTGAACCTCACAGTTTAGGTAATGAGTGGCAAGCGTTAAACAAGATGGAATACTCCTCCACAGTTATAGACTCTCTTATCTTTGTGCAAGTTTTCCACCCTCTTGGCCTATATAAGAATTTGGACAAAATTCTCCTACCGGCATCGGAATGGATCAGACCTGAAAACTAAACAGTCCAGGCCCTCTGGATTTCTGCTAGATGGCCTAGATTTGGGCCTACATCCTCCCATCATCATACCTCACATTGTATTGTTAAAATGTGTCTAACACAGACTCTTCCAAGTCTTGTGAGAGATCACCTGAGCCGGACGGCAGTACCTCTATCCAAAACCACAGTTAGGCCAATTTTCTGAATCTGGGTGCTGACCACAGTGGTACAGCTGTCATCCTTGTGAACTGATGTCATCCAGTTCCTTTTATTTCCTTTCCGTAAAGATATGTTTCCTGGTCACAATCACATCTCCTCTGCTCTTGAAAGACACTGAACTTACTGTATCTTCCGTGAGGACTTACTGTATCTCTAGGGTCATACTCCAGAATAATTCACAACTAAGTTTAACTTTTCCTTCCCTATAGAGTAAGGAGTTTTTCTCCCAAAGTTTCAATGCCCACAAGATAAAGTGTGGCATATGCTTATGCAAGAAGAGCAACTAAAACGTATCTTAGCAGAACTGTTCTATCTTTATTGTTTCCTCCCACTCTAAAGGATTGGGCCTGAAGGTACCCTAATCCTCCATAACTAGCTGGATAAACTGTGGCATCACCAAAACATATTCAGCCACAGATAAACTTATTCCATAAGGGATCACAGTCCATTCAACATGTTGTGTGGTGGCCTGTGGGGACAAAGGGCATTAGCCATCACCGAGGAAATCTGTAATGCTATCACCATCTAGTCATCCATTACTACGTTAATAAAACACTAAAGGCTTGACCTCATTCCCCTGCAGAAACATCCTTTGCTAGGAAGGTGCTCAGGGCAGTGGTCTCAAAATAGACTAAGACTGCTAATTTACAGAAAAGAGGAGCATTCTTCTAGTGTCCTACTTATCTCTCCCTCCCTACTAATTTTCCCTTATTCATCACTGCTTCCCAGATGCCTTACACGGGGGAAAGACCAAGGTCCAGAATGGAAAATTTGTTCCTTGACAATTTTCTTTCTGGCACTGATCTCCCCCTTCAGTCTGCCTCACCCAAGGTAAGTTACTTAGGTTTCTTTACAGTGGCCTCTTCAGGGTCCATGTACATAGGTGACATAATCAAATAAGGCATTACCGTTAAGAAGTTATAGTTAAGGTTAAGATTTTGTCACGGTAATTTTTAGTAAAAGTCACAGACAGATCACAGGCAATAAACAAAAATTCAAGGAAGTCTACAACTGTGACTTTTACTAAAAATAAAGGGGGGGGGGAGAGATGACAATAAATGAAGTCCAAGCCTTGCATGGAGGTGGGGGGAGGACTGAGAGCCTGAGCCCTGCCACGTGGGGAGGGCTCCAGCCACAGCCGTGTGGCTGACAGCAGCAGAGTCCCTGCCCACAGTGCCTCAAAGCTCCGGGCACCCACCACGCGCAGCGGCCAAGAGCTCCAGGGCCAGCGGCTCAGAGCTTCAGGGCCCCCACTGCCTGCAGTGGCTCAGAACTCCGGGGGAAGAGGCTCGGCGCTCCACGGCCCCTGCCATCTGTGGCAGCTCAGAGCTCTAGGACCAGCGGCTCAGAGCTCCAAGAGCATGGGGTTGAAGCTGAAGCAGAAAATGTCACAGAGGTCTCTGAAAGCCACGGAATCTGTGACTTCCATGACCTCCATGATAAAATCTTTTCCTTAGTTATAGGAACAATAAGTTCCTGCCACTAAGGATTTCACATACCCATATAGCCATGGCAGTACTTATCTTGAGCAAGGATGGAAGGGATGTGGCAAAGACACATGCACATGTGTGAACTACCTGTGGTATTTGCAGAAAAAGAGGTTCAGCCCCAATTTTTCAGACTAGGGGAGAGGTCAGTCCCAGAAAGGAAATAATCAGGTTACAAATTGTCCGTATTTTATTACAGAAAGCAAAGAACAGTAGGCTGCTAAACTGAACCCAACAAAGACTCATTGCAGCAAAATATTGTGGCTGAATTATTCTTCACTAACTTAACTGGAATTACACCAAGGTTGAATGTGGCCCTGTATATTTTGCTGTGTTCTCTACCGAAAGAAATCAAATATGGATCATTTCAATTAGTATGTGGCGATCCTTTCAACTTAATATGCTTGGTCTTGAGAACATTAGGAATGTTTTCATCGTTATAATTCAGGGACCGATCTTGCATTGCCTGTGCACTATAAACCCCAATGCTGGGAGTTTTGAATGCACAATAAATGAGGGACCAGGCCCTTACTTTTCTGTTGAATGTTAGAAACTGTGTAATTCATACAAGGTCAATTTGCTGCTATACATATCCAGTCCTGTTACGTGTAAATCACAGCTCGGTCAGAGTGCTCAAAAAAGAGTTATAAGCGAAATTAGTATTGG